TTAATAGCCCAAATTTTGCAATTTTGGCATTTTTGTTCAATATTCACTTATTCTCGAATATTCAACTCTAGTATTTTTGAAGTCGTTTATTGATTTGCTTCAACTTTTGTTTTTAATTTGAGCGCAGTCGAGCAACAGTTCTATTCTTACGAGGGTGGTCCCAGAAGTACCCGGCCTGACCTATAGATGGCGATAGTTGTTTGAAAAATATCATTGTATTAGAAAGTATGCAAAATATAAAGCATATGTGTAAAGTTTGAAGACGCCACGTTCTTTAGTATTTGTTTGGCAGCCATCAATACTGAACGTTTTCAGTGAATTTGTGAAAATGGAGAAAATTGGTCATCGTTATGTGGTACAATACTTTTATTTCAAAGGCCTCAGCCCAATCAGTATAAAAGCTGAACTGGATTCTACTCTGGGTGAGTCTGCTCCTTCGTTTACAACAGTAAAATATTGGGTAGCAGAGTTTAAACGAGGCCGTATGAGCTGCCAAGACGAGCATCGCAGTGGTCGACCAAATGAGGTGACGACTTCAGAAATGGTGAAGAAAATTCACAAAGCGGTACTGAATGATCGTCGACTGAAAGGGCGCAAGCTAGCAGACATAGTAGGCATTTCAAAAAGTGCGCTTCATCGCATATTATCTGAAAATTTGAACATGAGAAAGCTGTGTGCAAGATAGGTGCCGCGATTGCTCACAATCGAGCAAAAACAGTGTCGTGAAGATGTTTCAATTGAGTGTTTTGCGAAGTTTCACAGCAACAAAGTAGAATTTTTGCGTCGTTTCATAACCATGGATGAATCATGGGTCCATCACTTGACACCCGAGACAAAATAACAATCAAAACAATGGACTCAAAAGGGACAACCGGCTCCAAAGAAGGCGAAGATCGTTTCATCTGCAGGCAAGGTTATGGCGTCGGTTTTTTGGGATGCGCGTGGGATAATTTTCATTGACTATCTTGAAAAAGGTAAAACTATCAACGGCGAGTATTATGCGAACTTATTGCAACGTTTGAGCGATGAAATCAAGCAAAAACGGCCGCATTTGGTTAAGAAATCCGTTATTGCAATGGCCAAAATTACCGAATTAAAGTTTGAATTGCTACCTCATGCACCTCATTCACCAGATTTAGCCACCTCGAATTATTTTCTGTTTCCAAACTTGAAAAAATGGCTCAGTGGTCAAAGATTTTCCAAGATGAAGAAGTGATGTCGGTAGTTAATGGCTATTTTGAGGAGCAAGACAGTTCTTATTATAAAAATGGTATCGAACTTATTGAACATCGCTGGGAAAAGTGTATAGAGCTCAAAGGAGATTATGTTGAAAAATAAATACATTTGTTTACAAAATTTTTGTGTTTTCTTTGTTGGGTCGGGTACTTCTTGGACCACCTTCGTATATACCTATGTTTTGTATCTTAATGTGTTTTATTATACATTAGAAGGAGGTGTTGCGACCATGCGCTCATTTTAGAATAATAAATCAATTATTCGAAAACGGGTGAATTTTGAACAAAAATGGTAAAATTGCTTATAGACCCTGATACTTTTTACGTATACAGTGCTTTTAGAAAGTTCCCTCGTATTTTCTGAATTGGTCAAGTTAGCAAGAAAAAATTCGTAGTAATGAAATTGATACATAAATAATATCTTCTAGCATAAAAATAACAGTTGAAAATTTTTTACATGTTCTTCAAAATGACAGGCTGGCAAAGTTTAGCGTTTTTGTACATTGACTCGCTTATTAACTCAACAGTTATTCATCAAAACGTTATAGTATACTTGTATCATATCAATCTTCTTATGGAAGGGTCTTTCCGAATGTTATAATCTTCAAAAATTATGTTGAAAAATTTTACAGATTTGGTCAATTTTTTAATTGAATTTTCCATAATTTATTAAATATTCGGATAGATTCTATAGAAGACGATAATTTACAAAAATGATCAACTTTACCGATGCGCTGTTCCAAGGTATAGTGAGTTTATATGCCATGATTATAAAGTACTCTTAGGGAGCTTCCATTTAAAAAAAATACAAGATGGCGCCCAGCCGACATCTTGAAATTTTCAACTGCCCCTTTTATGGTAAAATATACATCAATTCCATCGCCTTAAATTTCGCCTATCTAACTTAACCCGTTCAAAAAAATAAGCAACGGGGACCTTATTGAACAGCACTGTATGATTCTTGAAGCTTGAATGGAAATGATGCAATGATACAACTTACTACAACAAAAAATGTTCAGCAGATTTGTGATGGTTGCGCAAAATACAACCTAGTTGCTGTTTGCCTGAAATTAATAGTTCGTCCTATATGGATGATGAAAATTGTTGGAATATTTTAGTATATTTGTGGTAGATTATAGATCGTCTACATATATATAAACGGAATTTTTATATAGGTATATGCGTAGCGAGTGGCAGTTACTAAGTGGTGTCATTGTCCTGATGATTGCAAAATATTACGTAAACGTCCTCTGGGCAGTTCAACGATTCATGCTCGATGTCACCCTGTACAGCCACTGGCGTAGATATCTCTATAGGCCATGGACCTACAGCGTTGTGGGGGTAATATAATTAAGAAGAGCGTTTGAATACTAGCGTATACTGTGTGTTACCTCGCAATCACAAACGATGTTTGACTTAAAAATGCGGGGATGAATTTCAAGTTGAGTCAGCGTTGCCATTTAAATTCCATATAATTCTCACGTTGGTTAACATTAGTGTTAACATAGTGTATATGACACATGGATTTTCAAACCGGAAACTGCACTTCTTCACGCTATTTAGATATTAAGCAGTAGTAAAGTAACTTCTACTTAAACAGCATAAACCTAAAGGCGCGTTCTCACTAGGTTTTAGTTATGTGATTATTATTAATCAACTAAAATAAATTCGGGTTTCTACTTACGCGTATCAATGAATCGGTAATTAAAAGCAAAATAGTTTGTCATCCAAGAAAAATTTAAATGCAAGTTCACATTACGATTTTTGTTCCATTTTACTTGAAAGTTGAGAGTTGTCCAACTAAACCCTACCTGTGCAAACACGCCTCAATTTTTAAATTAACCCAAACAGCCACGTATGGTGTCATTGATCTCAGATATTTTTTTGATATATCTTTTGATTATAGAAGATGAAGTACTAAGTCACCCGTCATCCACCTGATAAGCATATTTGAAAAAAAATGATCATTCAAATCGTCAGCCACTTCATAACCATGTGTTTCCTTAATTTTATATTTATACAGGGTGTTTCATAACTTATCCGACAAATTTTAACCACATATGCACTGTTACGAAAGAAGTTGATTTCTCAAAAAAAAAATGTAATAAAAGTCCTACAGAAATCGAGATAATAAAATAATACTGTTTAACAGTTCACCTACTTATCGTCTACTTACGTCTTATCCAATTTCGGCGCACTAATTCAGATACACCTCCTTCCTACTGTGCCTGAAGGATCAAATTTTCGGCAGCCACTGTGATTCGGTTACGCAATTCTTCAATATTCTGAACTGGAGTACGGTATACCTCGTTTTTCAAGTATCCCCATAAAAAGAAGTCCAGAGGATTTAGATCGGGAGACCGTGGAGGACATGCAATTGGTCCACCCCTTCCGATACAGAGTATCTAGTATACCTGATTAAAAAAATCACGAATTTTCAAACGAAAATGCGGAGGTGCCCATCTTGCAAAAACCATATCCGTGCTCGCACCGCCAATGACACATCTTCAAGAAGGACCGGAAAAGCATTCCGATCTGACAATATGAACGGTCCAATTAGACGTTCATCGACAATACCTGCCCACACGTTTAAAGAAAACGATGTTGAAAGTGTGTCTGGACCACTTCGTGAGGATTCTCAAAGGACCAAACGTGTGTATTATGAAGATTAGTTATCCCATTACGAGTAAAAATAGCTTCATCGTTGGCCAAAATATCAGCTGGACTAACTGGACGTGATAAGGGGGATCTGTTGGGCTAACTGGCTTGTGCTTATTCCCCGATTTAATTTCACAATATCCAAAATTTCGTCATCGGCATTTAAAACGCGTTGTGGGCGAACGCGACCCCAAACAGTTGAACTAAATGTCTCGTGATGTGGTATGTGCCTATTCGGAAATCGGTTTGCATACAAACGAGAAGCCGCTCGCGAATTTTGCCCTTCTTCTCCGTACGCTAAAACAACGTCCACTTATTTCTCATTAGTGTACACATGTGCCATTTACAATAATAACCAATAACTAAAAACATAAGCTCGCGAAATACTTTCTTTAACTTCACAAAAATCGACCGTTCTTCATTCAGATCACCCACGATACAGGTTGAACCTTATTTACATGTTCTTATCAGTATGAAAAAACAAAAAAGTCCTGATTGTTTTCGTCAGTTGCTTGGTACAACACCACGACGATGAACGCAAAATACAGATATTTAGTTTTCAATTTCAATTGAAACTCAGGTTTATAACTTAATTTCTGTAGGATTTTTATAATATTTTTTCTTTTGAGAAATCAACTTCTTTTGTAACAGTGCATATGTGGTTAAAATTTGTCGGATAAGTTGTATAGCTCCTATCTGTTTGGTTACATGTTTTTAGGAGTTTTTAAAGATACAGATGGCAATCTGATCTAGGACCAGACTACCTTTTTAAGAAGAACCAATGACAGAGTATGCCATATGTCATATATTTTGAATTGTTAAAACACCACTATTTCGAAGCATGCTGTGAAATTTGAGTTTAATATTTCTTTCCTCATTTGCTTTGATCACCGATAGAGGAAACTACCCAAAACCGACCCTCATTTTGTAATTGGTTAAAGAAGTATAAGAAAAATAGTTATACTGGGGTACCCAAACCGAAGTTTAACACATCATACGCTACTGCTAGCGTTATCAGCTATGTTTGATAGAAATCGGTTTTTTAATGAAAATCGGTGACGTTGTTACATAAAAAATAGAACAATAAAAAAAAGATATACCACAATCCGCCTCCCGTGAGGATTGAACTCACGACCCCTGGTTTACAAGTCCAGTGCTCTGCCACTGATCTACAGAGGCTTGTAGTTTCACTATTCATAAAGCGGCATATGAACTCCATGGGTTTTTATTAACATAGCTTTTTACAAAATTTTACTTATAAGGATAATGGAAAAATGTTATCAAATTATTGCACTGTCATCGGTCCTTGATACGTGTGCGAAGTTTAGATTTATTCAAACTTCTGGAAATTGTTGAAAATTATGACATACAGAGCAAGCTAATAAAAGCGTGTTAAAAAATAAAAAAAAAGGTATACTACAATCTGCCTCCTGTGACGATTGAACTCGCGACCCCTGTTTTACAGTCCAGTGTTCTGCCACTGAGCTACAGAGGCTTGTAGTTTCAGTATTAGTAAAGTGGCATTTGAAATCCGTGGCTATTTATTTCTTACTCTCAATAATATACAAGTTTCAACAAGTATATATAATATCATTTGGGACCCATTTCTCTCTAAAATGATCATTTTAGTGGGTGCATTTAATGCCAGTAATGCAGTGTCTTTTAAGAACAATTTGGAAGGTAACAACAAACCTTATATTAAACATTCTGGTCATCTTTCGACGACTTGGCTTGTCTAGCGGCGATACGCAGAAATTGCATAGCTTCTTGAAAAGATTTTAAAGATCCACTTGTTAAGAACACCAGAAAACACAAAAGCACACGAAAAAGCCTGGCTAATGACTTGGATCACCTTAAAAAAGAAACAGTTTTGATGTGGAGTTTGTCTTATAGTATTTACAAACATAGGTATTACAGCTTTGTGTACTTACATTGTTATACTTCACAAAATGCATATGGCTCAAATAACATGATAGTGTAATTAAAATGAACTGTTAAGAAAATGACATGCTGAAAAAAGTAAGGTTATTTTTGCAAAGCACAGACCACAGAGCACAGGAAGAAACCCGCCGGAAATTTAAATCTGGCCAATCAGACAACGTCAGTTGTGAATAAGTCGCCATTTTTTGAGGCTGTGACATGGTTGTCATATTATGCACCAGCAACACTGCTTTGTTTCCCATTCGCCAATATGAGTTTCACCCCCCTGAACGTCAACCCATCGACGCCGCCAATGTTGCTATATCACCTAATAATCGCGTTTGTTGCAAGTTATCCCCTCGCTGATCAGCTTTTAGGGCGTTACGAGATAGATTACACGATTGCTTAGTATCAGTAGAGGACTGTTAGTACGAAATTCAAATCTTTCCGGTACTGTTGTAGAACTTTGGATTTTACTGTTTTTTCACTTGAAACTTATAGAGGGTAGTCTGATAAATTATTTTACATCATAAAAAGTGTGGATGAAGTTTTCATGAAATTTTTTTCCCGAGACACGTGACATTTTAGCAGTGACTTCCCCCATTATTTCTACCGCCATCTACCATATGACGCTGACGTCTGTGGATATGTCATATATGAGAGGAGCTTGCCTGCGGTGTTGCCGGATTGGGCTCCGTATTTAGGGAAAAGTAGAAAATTTATATATACTAAGTGACATATAAATCCGAACACCCAGTTTAAATGGTTTTATTTTAATAAAATTTTGTATAAGTACTTAATGAAGCATAATAAGTAAATGATAAAAATTTCAAAATGATTGCACTGCTTTAAAGCCCTTTGACCTTTAATAATGTGTGGATGCACCCTGATGTGCTACGCATTCTCCAACGCGCCTAGGGATGCTTCTGATCAGGTGGTCAATGTCCTCCTGTGGTATCTCATTCCAGGCAACCACCAACTCCTCTCGAAGTGCTTCTAGAGTCTGAGGAGGACGTTGCAAATTGAGCAATCTCCTACCCATCATATCCCACACGTGCTCAATTGGGTATAAGTCGGGAGATCTTGGTGGCCATGGTAACAATGTGACATCATTATGTTGAAAGAAGTCTATTGTGACTCTTGCAACATGTGGTCGGGCATTATCTTGTTGGAAAGTTGGATCTGCCAGGGTGTCAAGATAGGGTAAAAGATGGGGTTCTAGAACTTCGTGGATATAACGCTGCGCGTTCATGTTACCTCTAATGAAGATTAAAGGTGACCTGGAACCATAAGCTATAGCACCCCAAACCATAACTCCAACAGTGTGATGAACATGTCTTTCAACAAAAAACTGTGTATGCCTCCTTTCACCACGTCGCCTTCTAACCCTGGCACGACCATCGTGCATGCCTAAACAAAATCGAGACTCGTCACTAAAGACAATACTGTTCCATTCCTGATCCCAGAGTGACCGTTGTCTGCACCACTCAAGGCGATTACGTCGGTGTAAGGGTTAGAAGGCGACGTGGTGAAAGGAGGAATCCACAGTTTTTTGTTGAAAGACATGTTCATCACACTGTTGGAGTTATGGTTTGGGGTGCTATAGCTTATGGTTCCAGGTCACGTTTAATCTTCATCAGAGGTAACATGAACGCCCAGCGTTATATCCACGAAGTTCTAGAACCCCATCTTTTAGCCTATCTTGACACCCTGGCAGATCCAACTTTCCAACAAGATAATGCCCGACCACATGTTGCAAGAGTCACAATAGACTTCTTTCAACATAATGATGTCACATTGTTACCATGGCCACCAAGATCTCCCGACTTATACCCAATTGAGCACGTGTGAGATATGATGGGTAGGAGATTGCTCAATTTGCAACGTCCTCCTCAGACTCTAGAAGCACTTCGGGAGGAGTTGGTGGTTGCCTGGAATGCGATACCACAGGAGGACATTGACCACCTGATCAAAAGCATGCCTAGGCGCGTTGGAGAATGCGTAGCACATCAGGGTGCATCCACACATTATTAAAGGTCAAAGGGCTTTAAAACAGCGTAATCATTTTGAAATTTTTATCATTTACTTATTATGCTTCATTAAATACTTATACAAAATTTTATCAAAATAAAACCATTTAAAGTGGGTGTTCGGATTTATATGTCACTTAGTATACATTTATATTAATGAAACGCAAAAACAAAAAACTGAAACAAACAACAGTAAAATAAAAAGCAATTCTAAGTGATTATAAAAAACAAAAAATTGAAACAGTAGTAAAATAAAAAGCAATTTGGATGGAATGAAATTGTTTTCGTTCTACTACTGTTTTTACTTTTTGTTTTGTGTTGTCACTTAGAATTGCTTTTTATTCAACATGGAATTGTTTTGTTTTACTACTTTTTATTTTACTGCTGTTTGTTATTATTTGATTTTTATAATCACATGGAATTATTTATAATTTATCATTTTTTAGCTTACTACTGTTATTTTTTGATTTATACTTATTAGGAATCGCCTTTTATTTTGCTACTGTTGTTTGTTTCAGTTTTTCGTTTTGTGATTCATTAATTAATATACATATGTATGTTACCGGCAATCTGTATAATCCGTTATTCTATACAATACCTAGGTAATGTATAGAATACCTAAGCCGTGTAGGTAATGTATGAAATATTATTTGTTTTATACTTTGCCTAGGTATTCTATACAGTATCAAATGCGCAGCCGGTAATGTATGTAAAAGACGAGAGCAAAGAACGGGTTGTACGTACCGGCAGGCAGGCAATAAACGAAATGCGTCCTACTTATAACCAGAATAATTTTTTGTTTCACATCAATTTTACTGTAGTGATAGAGAGGTACTTTTCTTGTACCCTTTTCATAAAGCTTAATTTTAAGAAGCACTCTAGTTGTTAATTTTAACGAACCCCGCTTGGAAGGTGAACCACAAATATTCACGAATGCCCTCTGAAGTTATAATAAAATGTTTATGTAGATAAATAATTGAGAATGACTGACGTGTCAATGAGTAAGGATAATGGAAAACTGTTATCAAATCATTTCACTGTCATCGGTCCTTGATACGTGTGCGAGGTTTCACGTTAATCAAACTTCTGGAAATTGGTGAAAATTATGCTCAAAGATTCCGTTACATATATACATACAGGCCAAGCTAAAGCGTGTTAAAGAATTTGTCATAGATACGCCTCTGAACACGGGCAGTAACACGAGCCGTCGGTCATGAATCAAAATAGTATTTCTAGATTCATACGTGAGCCACTGAGCATTGGATCTCATTCTCATTGATGAACTGTAATGTTAATGTCATTGTCCTCGCCTGTTACGATTGTTACGAAATTTTTGTTTGTATAAATTTTCGAGGAACGCTTACATATGTGCGATAATCTCAAGTTTCTAATTATTATGAACCGCAATGTATTGAATAATTAATTTTGCAAATCAAGATTTCGCGAGATATTAGTATTTTCACTCGCTCACTTGTATTCAGAAAATACGGCTGCTATAACGGTCAAAAATATGATGGAGGACTAACCATAATATCAGTTTGCGTATAAAAAAATATTGCATCCTATTTTGTTTTGAAATTACGCATTTGTCTTTATTTGGAAGTTGTTGATCTCGTTTTTAGCTTTGCAATTATTGTCATCGTTATTTTTAGGTTCCCGCAGAACTATGCTTTCCAACACCACCTCTCCTTTCTTTTCAAACGAAGAGCCTTACTAGTATATACAGGGTGGCCAATATGTAACTGACTGATTTAAATTACGCGCTATTTTTGATAAACGCATTTCAGTAGGTGTTAAAACGTTGTACTTAAATAATGACTCGATTGTTGCAACGATTCGGAAGCTGCTACAAGATTTTGGTCGAAATAAGTCAGTTGGTGTGGAAATTTGCGTTGTCCCCAGTTATGGTGTTGCTTTGACTATTGAAATCTTACTTCCAACTTTCAACTTTGCTGTTTACTATACGAGCCCCTTCCCACTTCAGTTGGCCCACTTCACGATTTGTACCAAAATATGCCTTTATGAACTAAACATGACGAAACTATTTACTTCTAAAACAATTTATTTTCTCAAAAACATTTTAGATACACTCTAGTCGTAAAAAATACATATTTGAAATCACTTAGACCTATAACTAATAGAACATCTGAACAAATAAGCAATGTGCGAATAAATGCACGAAGTTAACAAAGCAACAATTGAAAGATTATTTTTTATTACGGCTGAAATTCTTTGGGGATAGTGTTAACCAAGTTTTGGTATAAAACAATCCCATATTTCTTGAATCTTTTGTCCCAGTTCGGTGATTGTACGAGCAGGATGTTTTCGTAGAACCTTTTTCATCTCGTGCCACAAAGTTTCAATAGGTGACAGATCTGGACTGCTAGAAACCCATTTCAAAAGTGGTACATTATTTTCTTCCATCCATTTTATAGCCATTTTTGAGGTATGGCACGCTGCACCATCTTGCTGAAACACTAAATCTTGGCCGGATGTCAAACATTCTTCCATCACTGGTAAAAGCGATTCTTCTAAAATTGCCAAA